GTTTCTTTCTGTTATTTTGGCCAGTTCAGGTTTGTTCGTTCTACAGTTTTCCGAGCTTTTTTTCGTTTAATTCCGAGAAGAGCTTTATGTTGTTCTAATTTAGTGCTTAGTCTCTTATGTATTTAGCAAGAGTGGTTCTCGCACCGTTTGCCCAACCGATTTTTGATATTCTTTGTACGAGCGAGCATTGCTTGTTTGATCTCGTGCCAACCGAAACAAGCGAGTATTGCTGACGTTGGTACTCGCTTGTTTAACTTCTTTGAATCTGCCATCGGGGTACCTTTTTAGAATACGATGGATTTTTGGTTGGTTAGTCAAGGCTAGATTTTTTAGCGTGCTAGGGAGTATGAGTTATTTTTCAGCCAGATTCACAACTATACTTCGTGGTAGGAGACCGACAACGTAAGGCTGTTGTTATTATTTTTAAAAAAAGAGAGACAAGGATTAACTTTGTGGGATGCCGAAGGAATTTTAGCATGAATGTTAATTCAAATTGTTAGTGTGCATACATGAGATAGTAGTGAGAAAGATGGAATTAGCATGAAGAAGAGGCGGAGGGAAATTTCGAGGGACTGAGTTACGAAAGAAATCTTGAGTTCAGCTGTTTCTTCATCACTTTTACTGAAGACTGAGGGAAGAAGGGAGTTTTGAGTTCGACCATTCTTCCACCTCTTTATGCTAGTTCCTCCCCATCTTTGTTGGGTTTTAGAAAATCCTTTCTTTTGAAAGATTTTGTACTAATAGTTCTTTTGTTGTCAAGCATTGTTAGCCAATGAGGACGTAGCGCAGTTCAAGCAGCTGTACTTACTTTTGGGTTTTTTACTGAGTTCCTACTGATTACATTTCCCTCATCATCAACGCCGCTAGCGGAATCCAAGATGAGGAAGTTTCATTAGCCTGGCTTCTAGGCCACATGTTTCCCTCCTATGTCACATTTGCACCATCTCCCTCCTCCTCTACCTTTCCCCTCCCTCTTCACTGTTCTAGTCCAAAATGCAAGTTCACTGCGATAAATGCGCCAAAGAGGTAGCAAGAAAG